GTTGCTAGCTCAGGTGCGAGATCTGCAGGCTCGATTCGAGGGGAGAAAAACGGGGAGCTCGAGAGGACACCCTTTTCACAACATATTTTAGACGCCGACTTGCCTCAGGGGTTCAGAGAGCTTAACATCTGGTACGATGGGTCGACTGATCCCTCTCGACATCTGAGGAGTTTTGAAAACATGGCAGTACTGCACCGCTATAATGACCCTGTTCAATGTCGAGCGTTCCTGAAGACTCTGCGAGGACCTGCTCAAGACTAGTTTCATCAATTGCCCCTAGGAGCCGTCAGGGACTTTGATGGATTTAGCTCAAGTTTTCTAAACCAATTTGCAAGTGTGGAGGCCCAAGAGAAATCTTACCTTACTCTGATAGGCATGCAACAGAAGGAAGGAGAATCATTGAGGGATTACGTTGCGAGATACACGCGGGCGTGCGTCGACGTCCCCTCGGCCACGGAGGAAATCAAGTCGGGTGGACTCACTAGAGGACTCCTCCCAGGATTATGCAGGAACTCCTTAGGAAAACGACCCAGGAGGACGTTCGATGAGGTTTTAGGAAGGTGTGCCAAATACATGAATGTAGAGAAAGCAGAAGCCAACTTTCTGCAAGCGGCTAAAGCAAAAACTGAATCCCGTGATGAGAAGAAGGATAAAAAACTAATCACGGCGGTAGAAAGGAAGGGATCCCCGAAACCAGAAAGGGAGGGGCGATCAAGGGGATAGAGGACAACTCAATATACCCCGCTGTTGGCCTCGAATGCAAGTATATTGGAGGTAATGGAGAAAGAGATCCGCGAAAGTGTTGTCAGGTGGCCACGGACGAGAAAAGATGGACCGACAAAACCCAAAAGCGATCTGTATTGTCGATTCCACAAGGATTACGGGCATAATACCGATGAATGTCGGCACCTAAAAAATGAGATCGAGGGGCTAATCAAAGCGGGCCATCTGAAGGAGTTTGTTTATAAGGATCGAGAGCGAACCAGTCGGCGAAGGGAGAGAAGCAAGAGCCCTCGCAAGAGAGCGAGGACATCCGAAAAGGAAGAGCTCCCTCAGAAAAGAGGAATAATTTATATGATATTCGGAGGGCCGACTGATGGAGATTCAAATCGAGCCAGAAAGGCGTATGCTCGAGGCCGCCACGGAAAAATTGAAGTGCAGCAGGTTGAGGAAAACGGTCCAGTGATGAATTTTGGGCCAACAGATATGGGAGAGGTCGAAGGACCTCATAATGATGCTCTAATGATAATTGCTCAAATATCAGGCTATGAAGTGCAGAGGATCTTTGTCGACACAGGAAGCTCGGTGAATGTGATCTTTTACAATTGCCTTAAACGGATGGAACTCGACATCGATCTTACGCCCCTACACACCTCACTTTTTGGGTTTAATGGCTCGGAAGTCGCACCCCTAGGAGAAACCACACTCGCTGTCGTCCTCGGGGAAGGTGATTTGAGGAAAGTAAAGATGGTGCAATTCGTTGTAGTCGACGTCCAGTCGGCTTATAATGTGATTCTGGGAAGACCAGCGCTCAACACATTCCAAGCAATAGTGTCAACCTACCACATGAAGCTGAAGTTCCCCGTGGGAGACAAAGTAGGGGAGGCCCGAGGAGACCAGAGGCTGTCAAGAACCTGTTACCAGATAGCAGTAAAAACAAACCAACGAGTGGAAGTAAAGGAAGGGAAGAAGCCGATGTCGAGTGAAAAGAGACAAAGGGAAAGCGACCTTGAGCCGCATGGAGAGTTGATGGAAATTCAAATCAAGGAAAGAGAGGAGCAGACCACTAAAGTTGGGAGAGAGTTGGAAGACGAGTTGCGTGGACAGTTGGTGGGACTGTTGAAAGAATTCAAAGACATATTTGCCTTTTCCCCTGAAGAGTTAACGGGAATCGATCCCAATGTCATGGAGCATAAACTTAATGTCGACCCCCTAAAAAAGCCTGTGAAGCAGCGGCTTAGGCATCATGGGGCAGAGATCGATAAAGAAATTGAGGTCGAGGTGGATAAGTTACTGAAATCCAAACATATCAAAGAAATTTAATTCCCTGAATGGATATCATACACGGTGATGGTGATAAAAGTGCTGAATAAGTGGCGTATGTGCATTGATTTTCGCGATTTAAATTTAGCCTGCCCAAAAGATCACTACCCCCTGCCAAGAATCGACCAGTTGGTCGACTCCACAGCTGGCTGCCAATTGCTAAGTATGATGGACGTGTCCCAGGATCAAAGCAAAGTTGGTTTCGTGACGAGCAAGGGGACATATTGTTATGTCGTCATGCCTTTTGGGCTTAAAAACGCAGGGGCAACGTACCAAAGGTTAATGGATCGAATGTTTAAATTGCAGATCGGGGGAAATATGGAGGTTTACGTGGACGATATCCTGGTGAAGAGTAGGTCCTCGATCTCGCATGTGGAGGATTTAAGGGAAACATTTAAGACACTAAGAACATTTGGGATGAAGCTAAACCTAAGTAAGTGCGTTTTTGGAATAAAGGCGGGACACTTCTTGGGATATGTCGTAACCGAGAGGGGCATCGAAGTGAACAAGGATAAGGTAAAGGCTATACTCGACATGGCTGTACCTAGGAATATCAGAGAAGTACAAGTTTTGACAGGTCGAATCGCTGGCCTGAGCAGATTCATTGTTCGAGCGGCGGACAAAAGTTTCCCATTTTTCAAGTTGCTTAAAAAGAAAGCTTTCCAATGGAATGATGAGGCGCAAGTAGCATTCGAAAAACTGAAAGAATTTCTGAGCGAATTGCCGCTATTAATGAAACCAGAACCAGGTGACGAACTGGTGCTTTACGTTTCAGTGGGGATGTTTTCCTTAAGTTCAGTTTTATTGCGAGAGGCAGCAGG